TCTATTAGATTTGGTTGGAGTGTGGCTATTACGGCAACAGCTGAAGGTCGGCGAACGAACGAAACCGTTTTGTTTAACCTAACGTCTGTTTGCTTATCCATATGTGTTTGAATTTTCGAAGTGTTCTACAAATCATATGTGTGCCTTATGCCTACTCGACTTTACTTATCTAGCAAATGTATTTGTTCTGATATAGTTGAGCACCTTTCGTACCACCAGAGCTTGTGCGTTAATGCGTGTGTCTGAATACATGCGTACACATGTGAATGGAACTTGTACGTTCTTCAACGGGTGCGGTCAGAATCAGAGTTGCGTTGCCCACTGTCTATGTAGAGTATTATGTATTAAGAAGTAGAGTAGTCACTAATGCGGCTGCGGCTAAAGTCTGTCCTTTGGATCTTTTTCTTTAAGCTTCGAAGAGAATGTGTGCTCTCCTTCCAATTGTTCGTTAGGTAGCGGTTTAAATAAGTACGTCTCCCTTCAGTATGGTCTTCGTTAATCCAATTATGTGTACGGCCATATATGTAAGTGTTGTTAGTACACATTACATTCACGCCGAGTTAAGCTATAGCCAATAGCAAACTTATCAGGCTTTGGTTCCGGCTCTCGTATTAGTAACGCCCCGCAACCCAATAATGCCGATGTGGCTCAGAGCCGCTTTGTAAGCTACTAGGCTAACCAGTCTCAGGTTGTCCCGCCTCCTCTAACCATACCAAGTCCAGGCTATCGCAGCAATTCCAATATAGGTCTCAGCAAGCAAGCACCGGACTTTTTGTCTAAGAGTGAAAAAGAAAAACAGAGAAAAATAAAGAAAAATCAACTTATCTTTCTTCTGTTTCTTTATATTGACCGTTAAGCAAAGGCACTGAGATAAGGTCCTTAATACGATATTTCGGTTAGCTCCTGTCTTCTTTCCAGGACCACCGAGTACGTAACTCTTACTAGAGTACGCGGCAATGGTTCTATTCTAGAGTGCCATTGCCCAGGCATAACAGCGCATCGTACGCATCGGGCGTTCTGTGTCATAACGGAAGGCACGCGTGGTGGGAGCCGATGTATGTTGGCAAAGACCCTTGTTTTCTCTTACCTGAATAGCAAAGAGCACCGAGAGCATTAGAAAGCACTGCATCCGATACTGCACGATGGTGTAAGGCGAAACCGACTTGGATAGCAGAGGACCTCTAGTAAACTCTAGGCTCAAGGCAGGCCACGACGGTGAGGATAATTCGAGCGGGAAATGACTGCGCGATCCTGTTTTGCCTGCCGCTGAGCCTTATCTCACACGTATACTGCCTACGAAGATACTCGAGAGAGCCATAACAGTAATAATTGCTATCGCACTCACCCTGCGTTCGCCCGTTTCCCGAAAAAAGTTGACTCCACACAAGACTATTGCTTACCCACCCACGAGAGTGCAGTATCGCATTGTCGAGGGAAAAAAGTGAGACCAAGTACAAAAAGGAACTGTAAAGAAAAACATTTTGTGAAGCAGACCAATCCTTCTATGATCTAGAAATAACAAAATCGCAAACATACGGTCCCCCTATACCTTTTAAAATATTTAGTTAGCTATTTGGTATAAGTATTATAGACGAGAGCGTGTGGCGCTTGTTGTCTTCGTAGTTTATATAGTTATTTAAGGCTTTCATTATTACGATTAATGTTTTAACGTTAGTACAATACAATCTTGCAATACAATACTTCATGCGACCCAGGAATCAGAGCAGCCTTTAATGAATCGGGGTCATGGGTCAACACATATACACCTGTAAGATAGGTATATTGAAAATATATAAAATTCATTACACTGCGCGCTACCATCAGACAAGTAGGGACGCTAATTGCATATGATGATGCAAAGAAAAGCATGATACAAATGTTATGCGAGGTATTCTATTTCTCGTTTTGTTTTTTTTATGAAAGGAAATCGCATATATACATATATCGTTAAGGATACCTTTTTTGTTGCAATTCTCCGAGATGCCTTATTCAATGTGTTCTGCACAGATTTTCCATATCATTCATTAAATGCTTATATATGATATAAATTCTGATATGTAAATTAACTGTAATGTTCGCACTTGATGGTTGAAGTATACCATTCGGCCCGTACACCCAGACTTACACCTCGCTGAGCACGACAACGTCCTTTTAGTGTAGAGCCTTACACTCGCATTGCATGTACAGCGTAAGAGAAGTTACTGTTGTAAATAGCACGAGAATGTCACGGATAGTTCTTCAACTCGGTGCCTGACAAGCACATCCCACGTGTGTTCCTGTTTGTCACATTTGCCGAGTTTTGAAAGCATTTTCCTAATAGAAGAATTTCTCAATAGAAAGGTCTCATGAACATGCTCGTATTAAATGAGTTTCAAAGCAGGCATTTCTTGGTTTGAGGACGTTGTCCCGACCCTATGTTTTAGCCCATTTCCAATGTTAGGCCGTATAACTACCACTATGTATCATCCATACATCATACAACGCTTAGCTCTGCTTTTTAATCATCGCATTTGACCGTAACTATTTGCACTCAATTGAAGAAAAACGGCTTGCAAACGCACCGTTTACGTACATTTATTACACGCGAGCATCAGCGTTTGGAGAACAATATATGGCGAACATTCGTAAGCAACAGGTTTTCTTTTAGGTGGAATCACACATATATACGAAAAAGGTGAAACTGACTGATATGCAAAAGTTTTTATAGTGTCTGTTCAAATACAACACGAATCTAACCTGGCCAGGACAATTTACCCTTTTTCTTGTATAAGGCCGGAATCTCACATTGCTTAATCAGAATGCATAGTAAGAGTTGCATACTTATCTATATAGATCTGCAAATCGCATTACGCCTTATGTGTAGTGTATTCAAAACTAGGACCGCCAGAAGGATTTCGTCCTCACTGCTTGTCCTTCATGTTTTGCTTGTTCATTTTCTATTCTAGACAGCGAAAAAACACATTTTCCACCAGAAGCAACTCGACTGTAGTCATAGACGATGCCTTTTAGCGTCGGATTGCAGTTTATATGATCTTGCATAGGGAGCTTATCTGGTTTCAAATTCAACCCCCTCTGTACTGTGTAGCCGCCGTCACTGCTGCCTGTACCAACGCCCCTCCTGCTAAACCGACGCGTTTCTCTACCCCTGGCTTTCTTTCTTCTCTTCGTTGTTGAGACATTTTTCGAGACCGTTATTATCATTCTTGAGGATCAACTGGGTCGTCACATTAATGTCGCTACCGAAACTGGGAGAGAGGGAGGCTACCATTATCCGTTCGCCCTTTATTCTTACCATGGGTTCCGCAAAGCTTCCAGGCTTTACTTAGTTGGCAGACGGACTCCTGAGCGATGCTTTGACGGGCAACGGAAACTGCTAGAAGCAGCAGCTTGAGAAAGACTCGAGTAGATGTGTATGTTGAAGAGACTCTCGAAAGCCTAAACGAGGCCTTTACGGTGAACCCTAGCGACCTGTGCTCGTTCGCGGGCGAGTTTCACCAGTTTTCCGTTAAGTCTTTGACTGTTTCCCCTAGTCTGACTTGTCCTGTTGCAACCTTTCCTCTCGCATACGCACTCCCTGAAGCTTCACTTATGGCTAAAATGGCCGAAAGACTCCCATTTCTCTTGTTTTGAAGCTCAGTGTTTCTCTGGGCGATGTGGTTTCTGGAACTAAAAGCACGTGAAGGCCGGACTGTCTCTTTTAATGCGGTTCTAGCTATAGTGGCCGCTGTATAAGTGCTAGTAGCAGCAGACAATAATAGCAGCAATTGCTCGTTTGGCAACCACCTCCATCACCCCAGTTGCACTGCCTTGCAAGAGGGCTTAGCCTCTCTCCTTTTGGTTTGTTCGCAAGTAACTCTTGAAGTAGTTGGCTATGCAACGCTGACAACGGAAACACGGTTCTTTTTCCATCGTCGCTTTGCGCAGACGAAGAGAAAAAATGTACAATGTTATGCGAGAGCCTGGTGAAGGAAAACAGAGTTGTGAGCGTAGACGTAGGATATGTCGGTGGATCAGTTGGTCGCCCTACTCCTGAATCCTTTGCGAACCTTGCCCTATTGCACACTCCGGCAGGTGGATCCGCAACTAGATAAAATGCGCAGAGTTATAAATTCGTCTGCTTGCACGAGAGAACTCTGTCGGCGGCAAGTCTTTTGGCGAAACAGACCGCCGGCGGTGGTCAGTCCGCTAGCTAGCCACTTGACAGAACGGGTCACAGAGATTGTCTCAAGATCCCAAGAGTTGACAGAGAAGGATGCCATGTCCAAACCCCTTCCTTGGCTCGTTGTTGTAGTGGTGATGCTGCGACTGTTTCTGCTGCATGTTGTTGCTGCTGCAGCGCTTGCCGTTGCTTTTCACTGTTGCTTTCTAGCGAGCTATGCCGCGTCTTCTCGTTATTCGTTGCTGCCGACTTTCCATGCGTCCGATTTCTTCCTCTAAAACTGCAAAAATGATTGGCCGACAAGTGATACAGAGGCAAGAATGGAAACTAACGGACAGAGAGGTGCCGGAAGAGAACCTACAATTGGTTTGTCGAACGGCGCTCCGATTAGGATACTGGTGACTAAACGAAGCCAAAATATGGAGCGATTATGTTCCTTTTGTCCGACGCACGTCACACACACGACGACACGTCAATGCCATCTGGACACTTTCAGTTAACACCGCGCTCTTTTAATTTATTTCTGTATTTCGCTTTCTCACAGTGTCCTCTTACGTTTTTTGCTCCAGTTTTTCTTTGACTAGAAGAAAGTGCTTCAACAAACGAATACGTTTCCCGTCCTTTTTAAGGAGCTCGCTCTTCCTTAGCTACAGTAGGTATGTTTGTAGTGTCGTCGAATTAAAGGTGGCGAGATACCGGGAGTCATTATTTATCCACTTAGCTTATATGCACAGACTATTTCACCTAATGTAAATGACCAAATCTTTCTAGTACTGGCAGCTTTATCTAGCGCATGTCCATTTAACTCTATTTCTACAGATATTCGCTGATAATTGACGAATCGGCTTCAGAAGAGCCCTACGGAATTCTAGGTTGCTTAGAAGCTTCTTAGCACTTTTGCAACCTAGGCAATTAGCAATCAATTTAATTCAGCTAATTGTATAGTAAAAATAAACATCGTTCAGAGCGTGCAATTGTATTTATTCGTACGCGTTTACTCAATTTCCAGCAAATAACGACACAAATCATTGCTAACAAGTTTTTGCATTCTTCCGGACATTTATGTAGCTATAATAACATCGAACATCATTATCTTTAACATGTGCATTGTATATGGTAGTTACAAAACATAAATAAATCTAAGCATGTTTTTCTGCACGTGAGTGCAGTGAGAACACTAAGTTTCATACGCCTTTAAATACGACACATCCGTAGTGAAACCGTCCAATGGATCGCCGCTGCCCTTAATCTTTTCGTCCACCAGGCAAACATTTTAGTAGGAGCTGTGGACGGCGAGTTTGGCTGGTTCAGCTGGAACTCCGGTAGCGGCGACGGGACCGATTGTTGGGACGTGAGCCGCATGACTATCATATGCGAAGCCTTTGGCAATTACCGGGCCGGCGGTTACCGGGACGTTGGCAGCGGCAAAAGGAGCTGCCATGGAGGCAATCGCAGATGCAGTGAATACAGGGTTACTACCCGTAGCAGGCACAGCGACATGTGCAGCCAGTACTGGAACACTGGCAACCGCCGGACTTTCTATAGGTCCATAGGCAGCTGGGGCGGGGACGTGGGCGTACGATGCCACAGGGGCATGATATACGCGAGTCTCATATAGCACCGACTTGGCCACAACCTTCGGACTTAAAGTGATCGGAGCAGCAGCATTTACAGGATGCAAGCCGACCTTAGGGGCAATGCGAGAACCAGTGGCGATCGGAATCAGTGCGGAGGCTGCATATGGCGTGCCGTACGTGTGTCCGATACCAGCCGATGCTAGTGCTCGGCGTTCGGCTAATGACAGGCGATAGCCCCCGGTAACCAACTCTTTGGCCCGGACGGAGGTTATAAATACCGAAACAACGAGGAAAATACCGGCCTGAAAATCAACAATTAACAATGTATTCGCACGATTGTTGGCTGGCAACGAATAATAGTATGAAAATATGCTTCGCAAAAATGAGCAAAGGAGTGCAGACTAAAGCGATAAGGTTTTTACATGAAGAATGTATACACTATTGCACACAGTTGACGAATAAAGGTCGCTGGCTGAATCAAAAACGAATCGTTCATTTATTGCTTTGAGATTTCGACGCCAAATATTAGCCTTAGTGGCTTTTGATGTCAGAAGCGAGTGCTGATACAAAGCGTCGGCGGGAAATTACCTACGCAGCATTAACCTTTTCAGCAGATGGTAAAACTTTGGCTAGCGTGATTATGTGGTTGTTGCTTTAAATCAATACGAAATTGTCAAACACCATCGTTTCTTCGTTATGAAAAGATGGACGTTTCTATACCAGATGTTCTTATCCAGATTACCCTATTTAGACCTTCGCGGGACGGCTTCGCTAGACTGTTATGCACAGTTTTTCTCAAATCTAACGTGAATTGGACGTGAAGTGAACGAATAGGACTTCTCGTTCATAGCAACCCATAAAAACGACTTCATAGGGACGTTGGTGCCCATTGGCATGGAGAGCGTAACGTCTCTTTGCTTAACCTAAATTGGAATGCGAGCAAAATAGATTTTACAAGAGGCTGTCTATAATTTTCAACTCATAATGATTCACATACATGAACACCGCTTGCTTGTGCATTTTGCTCATGGTGCTATTCACACCCATGTGCTGATTCCACAAGGCGTCTAACACGCAAGGCAAATGCTTAAAAGTATATGACATAGTTCAGTAAATAAGGTATTTAACCTAGTTGAATTACGTAAACTATCAATAAGCGTTAAACTTGGAAGTGTATAAAAAACAAAGACAAACACAAATTGGCCACACAAATGGTCGAAAATAAGTTGTTTTGTACGAGATATAGCCTCGATCGCCTAAGAAATCATGGTATCTGTGCTGGAAGAAGCTAGACATAGTGAGGACACGTTTGATAGCGATAAAAGAACGGCATTTTCGAAGAGCACGACAATTAAGAATTATTCAACTAGGGTTTGACTTTTCCATATTTCTAGCAGCAGAAATCTCTTTGATCGTAGGAATTTTAGTGGTAAAATAAATGGTAACGACCCATAGGCCCATTTAAAAAATGCCTTGCTCACTAAGCTCTTCTTCAAGACTTGACCTCGAATTTCAAAATATATTCTTTATTTTAAGGCTAATGTATAATGTACATACATATTTGTATCGACAACCTTAAAATAGCTCTGATGATTGTGACAATTTTTAGTGACTGAGTTTGCCCTCAAAAACTTCAAGTTTAACAAAACTCGATATTATGGTTAAAATCCGAAAGATTAACCCGTAAAAAGCATAAATGGCGTCCGTAAGCCTGCTAGTTCGAACGCCTGAGATCTCTAAGTGGCTAGAGCTGTGAACTAATTTATTGAAAGTGACCATGGCAACGGTCCAGTTGAAAGGCCCTTAAAAACTAAGCCTTCTGAGCGACAGATCAGTGGACCTGAATAACATACGACTGCAAATAGAAAAATGTAAGAATGGCGTGACCGGCCTGGCCTTTTCGGTATATTGTTGTAAAGGCAAATTATTATGAGCCGCAACTGAATGAAAGTAAAACCATGGCGGAAGAAAAAGCAGTTCCTTTTAGGCTCTTTGAACTTGTACAACAACTTATACTGATAATAAACTCAATTCAATTAGCAATATTTCTATATAAACACTAGGTCACAAGAAATAGCTGTAAGAACAAGAAAAGTATGAAAACTTATGATTTCCAAAACTCATGATAATCGATTGCGTATCATGCGAAAAAGAAGACAATGCTCAGAAACATTAATAGTCGCGGCTTCACCACAAACTACTTCTTATAATATCTTATACAATAATCTTAACCTTCAGGCAATCACAAACTTATATGGAAAATATCATTTTATGAGCGAGCAGAGCAATGAGTGCAGTGCACCCGCTTTAGTTCACGGACCCAGATGCATTTCTACGCTTTATCGGAAGGTTTACAAAGAGCGATTTAGTATATCTATGACTTTAGAATTAGCACCAGTCTACAGCTATACTGCCATATTTTTATGATATGCATCTTTAAACACATGCCTGCTCTCCACTAGTCACGATGTATTCGCGCAGTATCCCGTCTAACGGGCGCGAATGAAGCATGGAGTGGCATTGATCAGAATGCCTAAGAAACCGCTGGCTATTTTTAACCTCACTAATCTAATACTCACGGTCACTAGAGGCACAAAAATTTCTCTATGAAACATTGTAAAAATATGAAGTTTCTCCAGATAGGTGGTTTTGTTGGTATAAACTAGAACGAAGTTCACAAAAATTGGTGCCGTAATTCACAGCGGTAGGAGCACCGTAACATCAAGTGATGGTGGCCGACGAAGATTCTGCACTGTTATTTTCGTTTGATGCCAAAATAACAGGTACTTCGTATATCGTCCTCACACCTACTGCTGCTAACAGAACAAGCAATTATGGCGTACTAATGGCTAAAGCGTTGATTATGAATGAATTTGAATATCGTTCTTAGACGGCACAGGATCTCAGCGGAAAGACTATATGCCAGTAATGGCAGCCCTTTCCACGAGTATATATATATATATATATATATATATATATGTATGGAAGGTCTTCGTTTCTGGCTTAGACAGACGGCTACCATCACTGCTGCTACCAAACAATAAGGAAACAACTGATTGATCCCCAATTTACATCCAGCCATAATGGATATACCAACAGTGCAGAACGATATAAGTTGTCAAGCCGACGATGATATACGCGCGAATATTGCCATCGGCGACTAGCACTAACATTTTCCCGACCCTTATTCACAGAGATGCTCTCCTTCTGATTGCAAAGGTAACTAAACCACTAATAATAAAAGACTTAACTACGAACTACGTTATTTGGTTCCGAAGGTTACATTTGCACCCACAAGATGTATATATATATGTCATCACGTATGACAAATGGCTTCCTATTCAACTGTTCTTCGTAAATCTTGCATTGACAATATATGTCCCGTATATATCCGTGTATAACGCGTATAAGGAAACGTTAGCAATCAACAGAGCATACACCATATTATAGAGACCAATTCGGGGAAGATCTTCGCTAAAGAAAATATAGATGTCATTGTTTAGCCAACTGATCCTCTGATGAGCATGTGAAGTTATTCTTGAACGCCAGGTATTGTGTTCGACGTTGGACGCGCAGGTCATGGTGAGTTGGGTATCTGGTAGATTCAATTCAAATCTCGTACAGGTTTCGGAACGGAAAAACGATTTCGAACAGCCAGACAAAGGGACATTCACTTTAAAGAAGGACGAAGGAGGATTCACTCAATTTAAAACAGTTTTCTAAATATTTCTAGTTTTGCGGGTGGTATTATTTTCAGCTTCACTTTCATTTTTAGTTGACGTCATGGCTACACCAACAGCACTCACCTCACCATTTAGTACATGACAGGTTTGATAGCCATTTCATCTTTTGATTACCATCCAACAAACACTCAACGGAAAACCAGCTTTTTCTGAAATTAGAAAAACCAATTACTATACTCCTATGATGACAATATAAAGAACCGAAAAACGACCAAAGGCCTGTGGACTGGAAACTACCGAAAAGTAGATAACAAGTAGATGTTCGTTATTTTCCAGATTCCTATAGGAAGTTACTGAGCAGCATAAATATAATATAAAATAAATAAAAAGAAAAGGAAGAAAAATGCCAAGAATTTTTGAATAAGAGGATTACCATTCTTGGTGTTAAAACAGGAAAACACTAAATTTATTTTATTGACCCAGTATGGACCCATTCTCATAATGCGATACCGAAAATAATTTCAAGAAGTATCTATCTATTCTCAATTGAAAAATAGTCGTTATTTTCCCTACTATTTACTTTGTTCCCGAACTTACTTTTAATACACAGCTTATAGTGACACATAGCGTGTGGTTAAAAGGAAAATATTCGTAAATTCTAGGAGAGTTATATAATGAGTTAAAGCCCTGTTGCTAGACTGGATAAATATCTATAGCGTATTGATATGTAGCGGTTGTTTTTATAATAGGTCTGTAAAATTTTCTATTGAAAAGATGCTACAGCAGACCCATCGAATATAATAAGGGTATTACAAGGTATTACAAGTATTACAAGAGTAACTGGTAATTGGCACCAGAGAAGCGGATGTAAAGTTTAAAATACATTGATATTTCTTATAAATCTCAATTTCGCAACAAAAAGTAAATGTCATCTTATTATTAGAAGTTTGCGACCTTATACACGCGTATCAAACAATGTATATCAAACTCTATTTTTGTCACATTAAAAAGCCGATTTCGCTTGCACTATTAATAACATATATGTCAGCAAAAAAGGCGTCCATGGACAATCACATACAAATGAACAAAAAGCTCAGCTGGGCAAGAATGGCCTCTGTCATCATATTAAGTAAGCGTGCACTAATAAATAGTGTTATTCTGGGATTTAGCGAAGTTTGAGAGTTCGACGATTAATCGAGCAGACTCTTGCTGTTATTGTGTGTGCCTATTATCGCTCTACTCAGCCAACATCAGGATGACGCAGGTAAATACCTAGTTTAATCGAAAAAGTAGCGGACGCTGTGATTGAACGCAAGCCATTTGTTCTCAACGGCAGTATCTATGTATGTACATTTTATTTTTATTTATGCTTCGAAGACGCTAATTACTTACAACAAAGGCAGTTAATTAGAATGCTAGAGAATTCTATCTATAATACTGGCCTGCTTCTTTCAGCTTTTTTTTTAAATTTTTAACTGTAATAATGATTATACAGACAATTTGATAAAAACGACGGCTCTTGCTTATTGAGATATTTTGTAGCTATGTACTAAGTATTTAATGCTACGAATTCATAATTTCCGGTCTATTTCAACTCAAAGCTCTACCTCACATGATCTTTGAATAAGAAAAACAATGTACAATATATGACTTATATGAAAAAGGGCTTAGGAAGATGGAATAGGTCTTATTATTTTATTCTATCAACGATATGCTGCTCAACATGATGTATTCTATTGCAGCTTGTTGGTTATGACGGCTCTAAGTGTATGTTTTTCTTGGTTATACGTGTGTGGACAATTCTCATTTATAACAAACTGTTCTGAAATCGACGTGCTTTTTCGATGAGCTGAGCTAGTAGGTATGATAGGCTGATGCTCTTTATACTTGGTAAGCTAATTACTGCTTTTCTCTAACTAATGGAGGCAACTGACGTTAAAAATATGATCAAAATATACAAACTATAGGTCTTCAAAAACTGACAAAACAGTTGCTAATAAATCCTAATAGACAGATTGTTCTTGCAATCAAAAGCAAAATTGATTAACGAATTTGCGCTGGCGGTTTTTAGCTGTTCTTACTGGCTAGGGTGGCAAAAGAAACTTAAGAATAGTTTGTGCTCGTTCTTCCGTTTGTTAACTAATTTAATCCTGCCCATGCCAACATCGTCACAATTAATGAACACAACCTACAGTTAAATAGATGACTTCAAATGTAGTAAAATTCTTGAGTTTACTTGATTTGATTCAAAGTAAGTACTTGCTAAAGTGATTATTCAGAATTAAGTGAAACATCCTAAAAAAACTCAAAAAGGAAAACATTGTACTAAGTTGGATAAATAAAACATATTTTTTTAACTAAATTATTTATGCAGTTCTAACGAATTCTGTTTGTATCTCAAGGAGTCAGAGGAAAGCAATCAACTCAAAAGATTCTTGAGCTCTAATTATTTTATGTAAAATAGAATAGACACTTAATATAAACTTCCCCTACCTTTCGCAGCTTATGTAAGTATAACGAATCGCTCAAATTAGGTAGATACATAACCCCAAATGTTTTATTAGTTGCTATAACCACTTAACAAAAATCTAACTGTGGGTCAAGCCCACTGCTTCGAGAATATGAGCTTCATATGATATTCTTGCTTTCATAATGTTATGTTTTTTTATTTTAATTATGCGCGAAACTCAATATAAATTTCCAACACGGTTTCGTCATCAATGGAAGACAATAAAATGAATTCACAAACAGTGACGGCTTTTCAAAATCAAGACCAGAAACTATTGTTCGTTCCAGGAAAAATCAACTTTGTATTAGCCGACTGTACAAAAACGTTAGTCAAAATTAACAATCACCAATAGATTTTCGTTTTTCAGCTAGTTAGCACGTCGGCCCGTCAAGCGATGAATGGCTTCAGAATTTCAGAGGAGCAACTGGCGTAAATCACAGGCGGGTATGTTATTGTTAGCAAACTACTGCAACGCAATATGCAGCACAGAGATACTTTCAGAACATCGGAACAGATTTCTGCTAGTTTCGATTGACTTTCTTCAGCTGGCAGAAAAAATTTCACGGACATCGCTTTGATTATGATGGCAACGGCGGCGGCTCTTGGGTGGACATGTTTTCCGTTCCATACAATTGGGAAATACTCAAACGGATTTCTCGCAATAATCATTACTTTCTATCTACCGTAGTTTTTCGTCGATAAAAAATATCATCGATTTGAGCTCTTTGCTACAACCACTTTTTAGCAAGTGTCTAGTCAAGTGCGCATCTGCAACGGATTTCAACCAGCAATGTTCTTCAATATGTTGAATCTTTTGCTAGAATGCAGTTGCGCTATTTTGATCCGGCAAACAATGGCATCTGCAGGCAAGTATATTGAATGTACTGGCAAAGAAGGGTAAATCAATGTAATCTTTGTTTGGTCAACGTCGTCTCTATCTAATGAACGTCAGGCATCAATGGAGCCAGTGAATCAGTGTGGGATTGATTGATCCAATAGGAGGAGTCTTTGTGACTATGTCTAATCTGCGATAATAATTTCAAACCGGCAGAGATTGAAACTAGAGCGTTCGTTGTAAAGCCGGATGGTGGGTTTACGTCGTTTCTAATATATCGTTTGTGCGGTAGCTTAAGGGAAACAGTCAGGTATATACAAGATGCCTAAGCCAAATCTTCACCTAAATCCTCACATACACTTTATTTGAACATGATAGCCAGTGATTAATTGCAATAATTGTATAGAGGCATCCGGGACGGACCGGTTTATCTAATGTGAGAGCCACCCGGTAACCTTTTCAGTTTTTGACTAAAACCGAACTCACTATTTTCTGCTCATAATCCGCGGAACTTTTATTTGCACAGTAAACTATGCCAAGTTTGCTGCGCCATGATTATAGGTGAAAAAAAATTGTGCTAAACAATACACGAATCAATACAAACTACATGACTAAACTACTTCATGAGCCGGCTCAAAGCTTTCCTTTTTACGACAAGTTTTGATATCGCTGTTGCGCATTAATTTAAGGAATCGGTTGCATAAGTCTATTCCTACCATTTGTAACGCGATGTATCATGCACTTAATCAGACTCTTTTGTGCTTACAAACAATTGTATTTGGTTAGTTTAACTATATGCAGACAACATACTTCACAAAATTGGTGATCCAAGGAGAGATACCCTGTGTTACTTACCTGCAATGGGTTTCTCATCAATCTGCACATTCTGATGCCGTGTTGGTAATGAGGTACTAGAAACGGTTGTAAAAACAAATCTTATTTCACTGTAAAACTTCGAATATATTGCGATAGTATATTAGAAATACAGACTTGAAGAAATGACTTTTTTTAATGACTTAATTCAAATTTTGATTTTACCTTTTAAACTTCTACGAATCGCTCCCTGCACTAATACCTTTAAATAGAACATAACCCTTTCAATTTAGACGAAACAGATGTATTTTTTACCTATTTATTCAAGTTACTCTCCACTCGAGTTACGGCAAAGAGTGTACGGTGTACCTAGCTGGGAGCAGAGCAGAGTAGAAACGTACCATCGGTCGATTGACGCTAAAATAAAATAACAACAGTTGAGCACAGACACTGATAGCGTTTAGGCTACAAGGCGGGTCAAAGGTTATGTGTCAGAGAAGGTCCTTTGGTTCATCTGCGCTAGCATCAGTTATATTAGTCGTATAAGTTCGCTAATGATATTACTAATGAATATTTTTAAGCATGACGATGCTAGCTGTGGAATACAGAAATGGGAAACGCAATTTTAGTGCAATCATTTGACTCAAAATATTGATATAGATTCCTGGCCCATTGTACAGCGAGAAAAAATCGCATTTTCACAAAAATATATCACGATTATATCTGTAATACGGTCATTTCACTTATTTGAAGTATTAAGTTAAATTGGTCATCTGCCTAAATATTTAAATTTAGAATTGACAAAGCATTAAATCATGTCAAGAATTCCTATCATACTGCATAAGTTAGGACCCGTTGGCCGGTAGCCTTAAGTTCTATATATACGTTGGCTATACGAGATTAGATGAGTTGCATACGACAGAAGTACACAACGACAGAATTCTGTATTCGAAAGTGCCTTAAGGCAATAGCAATAATTCTGCTGAGATGCACCAATTTCTCAAAATACAGTCCAGTTCAGAATAATCAGTTTTATCGGTATTTAATTTAAATTGATACCTCGTAGAATACTTATGCAAAATAGAGTAATTACTTTTCAGATAGCCAAGGCTTTTGTAACGTCCCGTGTTATCGACCCCAATTCACGTTACTTGAACCTAAATACTACGTTAAATACAACGGTAACCTTACCCATAGATATCGTGAAATTTATTTGACGATGGAAGTGTCAACACAAATATCAGTTGGTATGTAAGGAAAATCTCTGTAAGATGTTTTTGGGCAGGAAAAACCTTAGCGCGCTTCGAAGTACCCCTTAGATTTTGTGGTTTTCTAGTCGGTTTAAATTTCGCTATGGAACCTATGGAAACGGTACAAGCACAACAAATACAAATAAAAACAAGTCCCAAGAGATTTCCCAGACATGCTATAGACGTTATCAGGTAAATCTGCGGCAACCATATAATAACGAATTAAATCAGAATTGTGAAAGTAGTATGCGGACGTGTCTAGTCCAACGGGTTGATTGCAGACGCCCGGCTTCCATTGTCTTGCGCGCACTTATGATACGTGAATCAGGCCCGAAGAAGTGGCCTGGAGCCATTGCGCTATAACAATGTCTTGGACTTTAACGCGCATAAGGGTTAATATCATAATGTCTGACAGATCATCAGGGACAACAGTTGAGACCTCAGTACCATTCTACGATTCGTGAAGGGCTAAGTTGCAGGTCAACTGAATGTTTACCCAAACACATGACCCTCATTCCACGTCTAAAAAGACCCTTGCCCAGTTAGATAGCTCACCTTTATTGTAACGATTGCATTAGTTTACCAATCGAAACCGTATTGATCATTTACGGACGTATCCTCTCTGCTAAGGTCATAAAATGTCACAGCTTATTCATCTCGTAACCCTACGTAATAGTCCATGTTAATGATATACTCTGTGAAAAGGTCTCTAAAGATATTGGAACTGATCTTAGCGATCTCTGTGGAGTATTAGTAACGCAGTGACGTTTTACCGTAAAGGATTGCGATAGTTTACTCCCCGAGACGACATTTATGATAGCCTTGCATACAGAAGTACCGGCTCCCCCTGACAGAAAACCTTGCTGATTACTTTAGCTTGAGTACAATTGGAGGCACGTAAAGCAACGTATTTCTAGGATAACTTGAAATGTTACTTATATACATCGATATAGCCCAGATTGCTATTTTAGTCGCTGAATGCATTAAGCTGCAAGACAGTCTAGATATGTTTAAATAGCTAACAATAATTAGTTAAATAATAACACAACACTACTACACGATCTGTAATCGTTCATACTGCTCTTTACAGCACCAGAATTACCACAGAAAAACTTGTGCATCAGCTTCGACGGCAAAGGTCACGAATTTTCAAACTACTACGGACAGAAGCCGTCTAAATGCTTCCACACACGAATAAGTGTGTGTCTCAGAAGTCTTCCAGGACATCTGAGAAATATGAATGGAAAATTAGTAAAATGACGTATTAATGAACTACAGCGGTCTGCCCATGATGCAGCAAGTCAATAGGAAGGAGATAGAGATAAGCCAATTCACACACCTATCTTCCAGTATATATATATATATATCTATCCATATATATATACAGCACCAAACAACGTCATTACACTACGGATATACGTCAACAATGCTATTAGCATGAAGATTTATTTCACGTTTGCCTCTTTCCACAATCACTTATATTTCACCATCCCTAAATTAACGCACAAAATCAACCGACTTCAATAACGATAGCAAAATCAATCAGTCATCATCACGTAATTATTGTAAACCAAAAAGCACCTCAGATAGAAAAAAGAAACACTGACATGAGGGTGAACAATGTTATGTACAATTTTTCTCAATCACGACAGCTTTCCTAATTTCCAATTATTAAGCAATTATTAGCCATACAAAGCTGCCGCAAAAGAACTCTAGTATTAATATGTGTGTCTCCATTGTGACAAAAAATGCGATTTGTTTGAGTAGCTGACTCATCTAAAGAACGTCAATATACTACGCGTTGCATTTGTCTCATATAATCTCTTCATATAATATATTCGTAGCAGTATCATTAGCCGTCGCTAAATGGGCAACATAAAATCGCGACAAGCTGTAAATTGTTTGTTCTATTTCCGTTTGCAAAATTGTACGTGGTTGCTGGTTCGCGTTCGTTCGTAGGTTGAGGTTCGTCTGCGACTTTCATGTCATCGAGCACCCTTGTTATTTTCTCTCCTCTAAAGCAAAAGGTTATAAAGAGATATGGCATAAATTAACCATACCGGCAAAACAAATTCAAGGTTTTTCCCATTTTGGTTTTTTTTTATGATTTAGAAACAACATTATGAAATAACATTGGCGATTTAATAACATACATATGATCATAATGACGTTAATCCATTTCGGATAACAGTAAGACATTTCTTATCAAAACCGTTCTATTCGATTCGTTTCTCTGTGTCACACGTATATACCCTCCAACATACACACGCATATGTATAATCATATGTATATAATTACTCTGTAAAGCGACCTATTATTATAACATAAAATACTTCGATTTAAGAGACCTCGCACTCAATTGTCAAGACTATCCCAGACAAATAGGTAAACATCGCTCATTGCTTTTCCTTCTTGCAACATCGTTAGGTCCACGTTATTCAGTCAAAAGTACGCTCCTCTAGGTCCGCTGGATTTGCGTCACAATGATCGTTACAGAAGGTCTTTCCATCTATGATGGATTCTATTGTGCCAGCGACATTGTTAACTCACTTCAGTGAACCATTGCTTTTAAATTTTTATTCCACTACCATTTGCTTAAGCAAAAATTGTGAGGCCACCGTCTGACAACCCAGCCAGGGCGTACTCCGATCTTCCACGTAGAGAGATTCGCTCGGCCTGCGTGAACTGTTTGGCTAATGGATCTTGTGACTTCAATGTGAGTCGAAGCGAAGCATCATTGCAGGAGAACACCTGAATGGTCTTGGCCTGATCATCAAGGCAGCACGCCCAGAGTTCACCAGTCGGTGCTGAAAATTAAGAAAGATTGCAATGGGTTTACTGGGGTTAATATTATCCTTTAGCAGCTTAACAATTTAAAATGATCCAAACGACCCACACGTCAGAAAATATATTTTCCTTGAAGAATGTCGATTATGTTTCTTATCTTCTATAATTTATAAACACCAAATCTCTACGCTCGATATGCTTCTAGTCCAAATGTACCAACACAACTTTAGGCGTCAAAGCATTTTACAGCTTACTTCATTTTACATTACAAGAAATCGCACTATAAATATTGATTTGATATGTAACGTCATAGAACAAAATTCTGCATTGCCTTTCTTGGCAGATTTCATTATAAATATACGCCTACAACAGCAACAAGAGAAAAATTAGGTCTCTTCAAAAATATTATGGGAAATTTTGAGTGGCGATTTATTGCTTACATGTGACAATTGCCGGCTTTGTGATCACTGAAGAGCTGCCACCCGACTGGAACTTGCATTTCGCCGACACCACCGTATCACCATTGCGTCCATCAAGGCAGAATACCTCATTCGTAACGCCCTTCAAGCCTTGCGAGCCACTGAACGTGCGACTGTTCACCAAGAGAGTCTCGTTTGGGGCGTAGTAAGAGAGGGAAAAGCAGTTGCCAGCGGTAGGGATGTTTTGCGCCTGGTAACGGTTCGGGCCGATTTCCGTATAAATCCGAATCGCGTTGCGCAGCTGGGAACATGCCAAGCCTAAAAGGTCAACCGGAAAGACTGCTTAAAACAACGTACAGAAAATTTCTCTGTATAATAATAACAGCAAAAAAATAAATAAATTGAAACTGTCATGGCATAATGCAGCCTTGAAATTATTTTAGTGCTCCCTAAGCAATATTATACCTTAACGCATTATGGAGCATACCTATTTTTAGCATTAAACTCAAGAAAAGAGCAGTTTTTTCCAGCTATGTTTCGTCACACTAAGTAACACAGTAATCATAAAATTATTCGTGTTGTCCACAGCTGTTGATGCTCACCATGAACTTCTCTTCTTTCTTGGTTAACGGTGATGGACTTCAACGAGACAATGGGTATCATATTGTTGCTAGGACCCCGCAAGACCTGAACCGGATCTCTTAGCGTGCGCACGTCATACTCGACAATATCACCATTCTGTAGGCCCAGATAAAAATTTGTATCTGATGCATTACTCCAACAAGCGGACCACACCTTGTTGTGTAACTGCAGCGTGTGAACATTTGCTAGGCCTAGGTTGTCGACGCTGCTAATTCGTGCCGAGTTATCTAGCGAAGCTGTTAGCAGCCATAACTTGTTTTGATGAAAATCGAGGTCTTTTATTTCATGAGTGTGTAGCAACTTCGCCCGACGTGATTTCAGATCGTACAGGGAACAAAGTTCGACTGAAAAACCTTCAAAAAATGGAGTGACTGGCTTAGCCGAAACAGCTATTAGGCCTAACTTGTCCGAATACGCCATGTATTTACAATGGCCACTCAGCTTGGTGAAGGACTGTGTTTTAGGGAAACCGCCAAGTTCGTTTGAGCTTTGGCCGAGATAAGGTTGGTTAACATGTGCACCTTTCTCAAGTTGACGAACACGCTCATTCAGCAACGCGTTCTGCCCAACCAACGCTTCGACTCGGAAGTTAAGCTCGCGAACCTGATCACATGACTTTTGCTCGCGGTAGCGAAGGTCGTCGATTTCTTTACGAGCCTCGGCTAACTCGTACGATTCGCCTAATCGATGACAATCTAAGAAGGCGACACGCATATGCTTCAAGGAAGCTTGACGATTACACATAGGACAGGAACGCTTACCGGACATGAGCCATCTGTGAAAGATTTTAAAAATTGAATTGTAATTGTCATTACTAGCATCAGCAAACGAGGCATGTAAGAGTGCGGTGTATCTACGAACAGTAAAACTAGCTATAGCAAAATGCATTGCGATTGCTTTTTCATATAGCTATATCATATAAACTACGTGTTACGGGTAATTATGTGAACTGTGATTGGTGCAAGATAATCGTTACAAGAAGCGTACGTACCTTTTCACGCACGATTCGCCAAAACAGTGTCCGCATTTGAGAACGACAAGTCTGTGATCTCCACCCTGGTTCATGTCATCGAGACAAATCGAGCATGTTGCGACCCGGTTTATGTCATCCTCTTTCTCGGCAAGTCGTGCGTTTTTAACATCTGGATCCAGCCGGCATCTTTTCGATGGGCCTGTCAAGGCAACGACAAGCAAAATGGCAAATGCAAACTATTATACGTTTCCATCAAATAAAGTACGACATCAATTTACGATAGAATACACAAAGTTCATCAATCAACAAAACACGTTAATTGTTTTTAGCTTGTACGAAAATAAATATATTATCATTCATTATTGAGTAGATGGCACAAATTAAGAGCGTTCTTGGTCTTAAAACATGCATCTATAAAGATTCGAAAAAAGAAATCTAGATGTCCGTCAATCTCAACGAATCAAAATAATAGTTACTGCTTTACGAGCCCGAGAGCATCTATAATCAGAAAATATAATATCACAAAAAGGAAAGCAGCTCGGCGCGCTCCAGATTGTAATCTTCTCTTACCTTGAGAATCTTCGTCATCTTTATCATTATTGTTACTGTTGCTGTTGTCGTTGCCACTGTTACCACGAGCATCGTGTTGTCTGGAGACAATCCTTTCATTTCTACGGCTCCCCTGCGACGGCGCAGTGGCCTGGGCAGCCTGCTCTTCAGCGTCCGCAGCTACATTGGCAGCCGCACGCCTTCGTGCATTCGCTGTATCCACTCCACGTCTTCGCCATTCTCGCCGCTGTTCTTCGGTATCTTCATCACTGGAAATGTCTATCGGATTTGCCCCACCGCGTCGAGCCATTTCTTGATTCGATAATTCCTCCTAAAAATGGATTAGTTAATCGTCAACAATACATGTAATTCACAATGGAAGCTTAAGCATATTTTGGAGCACATAGCGAGTGTAAAGTAATGGAAACTATTATGATGGAACTCTATAGCTATTACTGCTACAAATATTCGTTTAACACCAATGTAAGTCAATCCACGCGCGTGTCAGCGCACTTCACGAGCAAATATTCAATACTTAGGATTCTTTTTTGGGCTTCATAGTTCGTTGCCACCTAAGCTCACTAGTTAGTGATCAGAACTCTGCACGAAAAACACATTATAACCTCAAGAGATCATGCAACTCTACCCGGCTTAGAGGCTGCGTATATGATGATCTTCCAAATCTAGTGAGTTTTACGACATAAGCATCACTGCGGGGCAACAAAAAAATCTCGTCCTACTGCTTCTTTACATCATCTCAAAAGGGCATACCGTTATTCTCCGATGTGGTACGTCGCAAAACTTATAACAGTGATAGCACAAAGAAAATAACTAGACGTACTAAATTTCTGAAACTTCACTGGCTTTGGTAAACTGCACTCTTTGAAAGATTAGAGTTAACAGTAACGATTAAATTATCCAATAGGTAAGCCAAAAGCGAATCGAAACTTTCAAATACTTGCACATGAACACCAGCAGATGATTAAACCTTATTAAACTTCAGTTGAACCATGACCATATTTAATTAAAGCTAAGTAAAACAAAACTGAAAGCTTCTGCTGGATGCTAATTTCTCACAAGCTTTTTACTTTTAAAAAACACAAGCTTTTTTTCCGTTTAAAGCAAAAGAATAAAAATTACATACGAGGTAAATAAAAATCTTTCACACCAAACGAAGCATGCTCACCACAATAACCCGAAGTCCTTGTAACCCTGACACGTTGATCGCCGGCAGAAAATCGTCATCCTCTTCATCAAATGTCAACTCGTCGTCATCAGAAATAGTTGCCTCGTCGGAAAAGATTGCGTCCATTTCTGCCGCGACGGCGTCGAGCTCGTTGAGGAAGGCCGGCTCGACGCCTAGCGGGTTTGTGGAATCGCTGTCGTCGTCGGACAAAAACTCTTCAACAAGTCTTGAAGTCGCTCTTGTCGATCTCGATCGAGTCCCCGTAGACGATCTGGTACCTCGGCCTACCCCCCTACTCGGCGGAAGCTCCCATCGAGCTTCGTCGTCACCTTCGGTATCACCATCGATTTCTTCCGTTTCTAAGGTTCCAACATCAGAACGAGACGCCGGCTCCGCTGGGGATCTACGCGGGTTCTGTGATGGCGAGAGTAACTGCGAAGTACCACGTCGACTCCGTGTGTTGCGGGCGCTTGCCGTAGCCCGACTACTTCGATGCTCCCATTGAGTCGAGTTGATCACGAAACGGTCCGCACCTGCAGGACCCTCACCGTTAGGAGCCGCTGTCCGCCCATTGCGATTCGCCGCTCCCCGTCTCGAACGACCAATGCGACCTTGTTCGTCACCCATAGCGCCTCGTCTATCTACCAACACTCTCTCTCCCGATAAAATTTGTGCGTAACGCCCCCCCGTTGCTGAAGTTCCGTCGGTCTCCGCTGATTCTGACCTTCTTGGAGCAGCTGCCGATCTCCGTGATGATTGGGAACCTCGCGGCTGTTCGACGTTATTTCCACTACCACCAGGTTCGTCCTGCTCTCGAGCATTCGTGCCTCGAACTGTAGAACTAGGATTAAGCTGTATCGCGCTTTGTAAATCGTTTAGCTCCTCTTCATTTAAAAACAACCAATCAGAGTTATCCATATTCACACATTGACGACAATGACCACCAAATTCGAGTTTGCCCTAACCCCTTGCCCTCTCGCTCTGGTTGTATTTACCACCCGGGTGTCGCTACAATCTCATATGAGGCGACGCTGTAATTCAAACAATATTTCAGCTATTATTAACTAAACCACGTTCATTAGAATGTTCATAGGAGATTATCCTCAGTCTTAAACGATTTGCTTCTGTCAATAGAAATTCCTTGTAGTTCGGAAACTGGCCATCGCTGTGAAATTCTATTTTTTTCCTAGTTTCAATTTCTGCTTTATTGAATCGTCCCTAGCGAACTCCGACGGACAATATTCACACTCAATCCCCTTAATCTCCGTTACCGATAGCTTGCTTCTATCCCTTTTCTGCGTAAACACCAGGTACTGTTAACTAAAAATATTACGTAATTTTAAATTCTTTTAAATAAGTAGTTTCACGTAATTACTCTACCAACGTTCATTTTAAGAAATTCCTCTGTGAATGAACAAAAATACTTTTTTAAGGACATCAATGCTGAAGGTATTCCGGAGTTCTTTGAGGTGTACAGAAATTTACATAGATCCATGGGCTAAGAAACACGACACTGATAAATATTACCACACTTACTACTCGAACTTCTGCTTACTCCACTGAAAATAGGCCTGTAACGCATATTAGACCAGATACCGTTCGCTCGAATATAGAAATAAGGTAACGGAAAATAATCTAAATAAGATATATAATATATATATATATATGTTCGCTACTTATGTATTCAGATGCGGGGTTACAGCTTTGCACAACTGTTATTGTGCACCGAACGGGTACTACCACATGGACCTTTTTTCTTTAATTACGGCTATATATGTGTGGCACCTGCTTATTTCGCGGCAAGACGATGTAGAAAAGCACTCTAAATTTCAGACACTTCCCTTACTTTTTCCTAGAAAAATAACATAACAGACCCCTTAGCAGACCAATACAACATCTCTCTATGGATGCACTGAAAGTAATATTATCTTGATTAAATAGTTACCACCTGCGGCGTCGCGACGCAGTAGTCGTTCTTGGTGGATCTGACCGAGAATCTGGTTGATCTCTATGTAGTGTCGATTCTCCAATGTGTTCGCAGCTATTACTGTACCCGTCGCCGTGGCCACCGCTACTCCTGGTAGAGTCGTCGCTTGTCCGGCGTTCGAATTAGGACAAACGCTGTTTGTTGACACGTGCGAGGATGAAGCAGAGCTAAGGGCCTCGTCACCAATGTGAATCAGATGGATCCGTTTTGAAATCGGTTGGAGCTCAGGATCGTCTGGGTCGAGACAGCGTTTTCGGGTTGCAGGATTGCCACCCGGCCAAATTACTCCCGCACCTTCCATAGGATGGACAACGACACCTTGTTGAAATCGCACCTTACGCGGATAGCCAGCGTGATTCTTGTAAATTCTTATTGCTCGTAGCGCGAAGTAACACCAGAAAGAGAGGAAAAAAGAGGGAAAAAGTTTGCCCCTGCCGCAAGCGCCACGCGGAACTCTGATGGCTATTGTTTTTGGAAGTACGAAGCTAGGGTCAGAAGATTGCCAACAGCCACTCCAACAACGATCTCAGTCGATTCAGGCCTTTCTCGGACTGCGCACGGTACGAATGAAACAAGGATAGTAAAACACCAGCCAACACGAGGCACGTCCATCTAAAGACTATTTCTATGATGGGTTCGTCGCAGCGTTCTTGTTTTTACGTACTTACACTACATTAACCAATCAAGCAATTGTTCCGAAGAGAGGCCTTGATGGAGACGAACTTTGACCAGAAGAGTGAGCTGGAGCTAACATGAACTGACAATGTTTGTGGGTTTGATAACGCACGGTTGTATTATGTGTAAACACATCACGAGGCAAAACTGGTAAATATCAGATGTAGCCGTACGATTTGTGGCTGTGGCAAATCGACAAATTGTCCTCGCGACGAAATCAAACGAAACAATTGCGGCAAGCAGCTTGACACTGAAAGCAATCGCTTCGTTAGAATATGCCGCGATCGACATCAGCTGAGCTAGTTTCCCAACAATGATGCGCTGGTTCTGCCTGACGCGCGAAAATTTGAATTTGAATGAAACGGCGCGCGCGCAAAAACCACTGCTACCAGCTTGAAAGGTAAAATATGTTAACATGTTTTCATAGATTTGTTGGCCACTGTTTGAAGTGACATCGAATATCTGCTGCAATGGGAATGTTCGATCTAGTCAAGTGCCAGTGGTCTGAAGTAACGGATAATATTTGTTCAAGTGCAGATGGTCAGATAAAATTCAACAAAATGTAACTGAGTTCCGACACAATTGTCTCCACAACGGTAGAACCGTTCGCTCCATGATAGAAAGCAAAACTGAATTTACTTTTGTGTATGAGAAGGATTGTATCAAATTGCAACAACAGTACTTCAATATATCTACATATTGGATTTCCGGACTGCAAACTTCACTGACTGACATTTTTGTCGACATTAAGATACTGCATTCAACATGTAGGCGATGTTATCGTTTGGCACTATGTAGTTTTACGAAGAAAACTTTATAAATTAACACCGGGCGTGGCGATGAGTGACTAAAATTTGTTTAAAAAACCAGCCAAGTAACACCAAACTTATTACATTACACGAACTTCCTATTACATATATTTAAGTCCTTTAGGAGCATAACCATCGCAATAAATTATATCGGACCAATGTGAACAAATAAATAACATACAGCATACTATAAACGATGACTATGAGCTTACTGAAAAAGCACACATTGGTTGATACACAAGACACCTCTGTGACAAAAACCGAATAGGCTACAATGCACTATGGCTATTCCAAGTTATATGACTTTGAGTCTTGGATCTGATGCGTGAAAGCAAAGCATTTTTTGCTGCTTAAGAGCCGCGCATAGTTCAAGAGGCAAATGTCCACTTAGTAATAAATTATGCGGTACCGGTTGATCAGGTGGAAAGAAGAAAGGGATCAGAAGAAAACATGGAAAAGAAAAGAGAACAAGCCATAAAGGTAATTATCAGTTTTAATAAGGAAGCGGTCATCTTTTGTTTCGATATTGTAGGTACTCTGCACTAACATTTTGCGTTTTCAGTCTATGTAAATCAATAGAAGCATGATGATATTGCAAACATTTATTGTTGATTATACGGAAAAATTCTAGTGGTATGTCCACCTTTTTCGGCAATGTGAATATCCGTCCCTGCCAGCAAGTGTACGAGTGTGCCGGCTTCCTCGCCTAATTTGCATCCTCCTATTATAGAATGCCGAGGAGAAAAAACATTTGACTGCTATGTCACTTGTAACAAAGTCGAATAGGATCAAAAGATTTTCCACTTCTATAGCCATGCATAGTTCCCAAGCATAGTAAACTATGAAAAATGAATATCAAGCACCACTTTCGCATGGACAGTGACGAAGTAGTCTACGCATGCGCATGTGCTACAAATTCCCAACTCCATGCGTGGCAATCGTAATTTAAATCACAAATTCTTCCGAAAAACAGCCCGCACCATGCGTGTGGAAAATCATACTGGAGGCTATTTCACGCCGTAGCTAAGCGTAGGGCACCTTGGGGAGGACACGTAATGATCAGTGCCCGTACTTGCACTTTTTAAAGTTCTTCAACAGCATGTCAGTATGGGCTACAATATTAACTACGGTGTCCTGGCAGAAAACGTTTGTTTTGAGTGTCTTAGAATCAGAGAGAAACTTGAACATATAACATGCAAGACGCTCATGTCAAAGTCAGAGGTCATTACTAACATTATTTCGTAATAATTAAAGTAGCCAGCTGTCCGAGTTAGTGCATTAACATTTCACTGACTGAATGAGTGTCCATACGCTTTTCCTTTGGCAAAGGGTCTAATTCATTAGCGTAGGATTTATACGAACTTGTCCGCTGTCTTTGGATATTTTGTACCTTTCTCATCTCCTCTGTTTATTTGTAACATAGAATGGAATTGGATCGCGCTGCCAATATATGCCATGCTACCCATGTGCAGGCCACATATGCAATCCTGCAGTTATCCTATCTGTAATAGACTCATGTTCATTCCAGTAACCCTGAGAGAATGAGTTGTGCCGACTCATCATAAGTTTGTTAAGCTGCTCGAGACGCTACTTTTCTCAACCACTACTGCGAGGCAGAGTTTCAAGGATCAACCGAGCCCCAATAAATGTCTTTTTGTCAAAGTGATCGGTCGATTTTACAAATCTGTCAGGTCTTTTTGTCTATCGTGAAAAGCTAAAAATGTATTTAGTCATCATCCGGTGAAAAGGTAGACTGTCCTTCGCATGGCACTAGTCTTTTACTACACCAACTCTACGTGGCTATTGTCGTCGGCTCCTGCAGCCGCTTTATTATACCTGCATTTGGACCATGTGGAAACTGAATTTCACTGCTTGTTTTCTGTATGATATGCCCAAAGTGTTTCCGTAATTGTGCAACGGTAACGTGTTGGCCCACTAAACCTAGAAACACAGCGGAATGGGCTAAATTCAACAGCAGGGGTAGGTAAACACACTTCATTCCGTCTTTGGGGTTAACCATTTAAAGCAATGCCTAACACCAATAGTCAGACTGGATATGGAAGCTCAAAACATTTACTGATGCGGAAAGTTCTCATATACAGAGGAAGCGTTCATTCCATCCAACAGTGCACAGCTGGCGCCACCGTCGCCCGTGGAGCGATCGAGCGAACCAGTTCGTATAGTTATCCACTTAGCGCTCATTGAATGACACATCGTTCTTTACACAGCTCAAAAGCAAAAGATCAGGTAGGGTAGAACGCAGAAACATCAGCATCAACCCAGCGGCAGGCGTAGAATGCCAACGGGAGAGAGACGGACTGAACAGAGAGAGAGAGAGGTTCGCCGTTGCCGTCATCACCATTCTCTCCCGCAGCACTAGCAGTACCAGTTCGTAGCAGACAACGCCAGCCCAAGGAGAAAAGAGGCGCACTGTGGCCTAGCCGTCGACGCCCGTTTATGACGGCTATCTTCTGTTCCAAGCGTCTGGTTTGCTTAAAGCAGCTTTCTGCATAGCCGCCGTCACCACCACCACCACCGCCACCGCCACCATTGCCACTGTGTTAGTCATTATTCGTCTGCGGCCGTGTTCGTCTGCTAAAACTTGGTGCTGGCTGACAACTGCCGACGCCGCAGCAGCGGTTGCCGCTGCTTCTGCAGTTATTCTAGGAACGACTCGAGCGCCTTCGTGTCCAGCCGTATCAGCAGAGAACAGCGGAAAAAGCAGCAGGCAAAAAGTTAATCGTCGTCGTCGTCGTCGTCGTCGTCGTCGTCGTCGCCGCCGCCGCCGCCGCCGCCTGTGCTGCTGCTGTGTTGATTGTGACTGAGGGTCTGAGCGATGGTGGGATTAATCGAGCATGGGAGCGACAGTCAAGTCGACTACTGGCGACTGGTGCCAGCGGGTGAGTGAATCGGGTCGTGTTCTCGTTATTCGGCGGCGGCAAGACTAAGCTGCTATCGTTACCATCGCTTCGGTTGTAGATTCGCGGCCGATGTGTTGCCGTCTGTAGCAATTTCGCGACTGTTAGTCGGATCACCGACGGGCGCCTGACTCGTTTTGTCGGGTACCGTCATCGTTTTCTGGTAGCAGGTTGTCGTCGTCGTCTTCGGCTGTTTCTCTGCCACCGTTGCTGGCGCTCGTGAAATGAACTGGATTGCAATAGTCATCGCCAGTGACGGCTACGGTGGTCGATGGTTGCTTTAATCGTCCTCGGTAGTGTCGCTGCTGCCGCCGCGGCGCTGAGGCTGGTCGTTCAAACACGGTGCTAGCCTGGCCAAAAGCAGCTGCAGTAACGAGTAGGACATAGCGAATATTCGATGGTACGAAAGCTGCCACTGAGGCCAACTAACTATTACGACTACAAAAGTCTTTGCTACGCATCATCGTCCGTGTTGATGGTTCGACTCTCTACGTATGTGTGCGTGTTAAACAAGTGAAATAGAATACGTACAGCTGCGGGCCGCTATCGTGCAGTATCGAGTGTTGCTGCGAGTTGGACGATGTTGTCGTTGCGACTGACCGTATCCTCAGGGATCTCATCTGGTCAGTAGGTGCTTTGTGTGTCGTTTGCTGGGATTGTTCCAGTAAACGGTAGTTTGGTTAACGTAAACAAAGTGGAGATACCATTGTAGAGCTGTGAGTGACGAAACAAAAAAGAGAAAAAGTGGGTGAAAAGTGTGTTTACTGCTGACTGCGCGCGACAATATCACAGCCGATCCCATCAAAGCACCGCTGGAGGCTCATCGATTAATTGCAATTAATGTTCAAATACGTTATAGTAGGTTGGTTAACAGAACGTATTTTCTACGCCGTTTTGAGAGCAAACAGGTTCTGCAATCAGCAACCGGTTATCGGCTTAATTAATCGGTCCGCTTCCAGGTTGACGCACTCGCTTAGCACCTACGCCGTGCGGAAGAGGCGTGTGCCTGTTCGGCGCCGGCTTGTGCCCTAGGTTTTGCCAACCCATCCCTACGTACAAGCCCCTGAATCGAGAACAGATTTCGGATCGTACACTGTCCCTCAACTGGCAGTGAATGTGCGAGTAAATTCGTTTTCTTTTATATTATTTCAGACCTGACTTCAGGTCTAAGCGAACTGGTTTTTCCCGCAACACCATCCGATTCGCGTTATCGAAAAGATTCTTTCGCTCCTCAAAAGTTTTTCTTCTAGTCTATCAGCGCTTGCGTAGGAGGAAGTCTTTCCCATTATTGGTCCTTTAGTGCTGGCTCGACCTTCCGCTGGAAACTAGTCACTTCATTCCTTCAAGCAGTCGTCGTTGCCCTAAACTAAGCACAATACGTAACTCTATATGAGCAGTGTCTCTGCCCTTTGACGCATACGAAACAAAAAGCCCAAACCAGTCGCGTGGTTGCCGCAGCCAAAAATCCGTTAGCAGCTACACTATATAACACCAGAGGAGATCTATAAAAGGGTCATCCACTGTAAAGTGTCTGCACGCATACAAGAAGGGCACAGTAAAATCTACGGTACCGCGTTTCGATCGCCATAGCGCATTTGTACAGAGGGAAAGCTAGAACTTGCTTGTTCGCGCGTCAGCCAAGCATAAAGGCATATCCTGTTGATAATACAATTTGCCGGCATTTAGTGGCTTACTGATAAAACTTCCAATTCGAGATCTTTGCTTTAACGACATGCGACTCTTGCAAGATCGATGTCAGTACGAAATTTAAATGGAATTATTACATTTGTTGGGTTTTCGGCAAAATTTTAATTAAATTAAAAATAATTAAAAATAGGCCGCCTGTTTTTCCTATCCGCTGAACCTGTACCCCTATCTAGAGCGCCTCTGATGTCTGCTTCACAGAAGGATTGAACAACAAAACTATTCCTCACTAGCGGCAGTTTACCTCCAGACCGTGGGACCCAGTCTTTCTTTGTCGTTTGTGAAATCGATATAGTGTGGTCTTCCCTGGGAGATTTTACGCGTACGCGTACATCTATGTGTGACTTGCCATTTGGATTACATAACATTTATGGACAATAGTTAAGCAATTATTCGAAGTGTCAACCCCACCAAGAAGCGCCGGTGTCTATTGAGTGCCTGCGGCTAAAGATCAAGCCAGTGAATTAAGGAAGCAGGAACTTGCTGTTGGCTCAACAGAGTTGAGCGACAGAGTCGAAGTAGAATACGCAAAAAAAGGATAAGAAAGAAATCAGAAGATCACGAGGTCGTCCAAGCGAGAAAATCGAATAACAGGCAAGGGACCGGCCGCGCGCATCAGAGAAGTGCGAATTTGTAGCCATCTTTTCGCCGTTCCCGAAAGTTGAAGAAGGGAAAGGTCGCTTTGTGTTCGTCGATTGTGCGTTATTCGTTGTTGTTGTTGATCGTGGTGGTTCTTGCTGAAGTCGGAAATACGGTGGACATCGTTTCAGCTCGTGAATAACTGAATTATCAAAATGTGTGCCACTTTCGACCCACATGATCGGAACAGGTAAGCAACGCGTGATCATGCAACGTAACTACGATGTCTTACCAAAGTACATAGTACTATTTTTGATGAATGCGCTAGATAAACTCGTATTGGAAATGCTTGCAGGTGTGTAAACCTATGTCGGTTTCTCATCGACTTTTTTTGGGTAAAATCACAATTAGCAGCTAACAAAGCTGAATTAGCTCCACGATAATAGTACAAATAATCACACGAAAGCAAAAGAATTACTCAGATCCGAATCTTTAAGGGATTTCTGTGCTTAGTCAGTTATCTTCTTTACAGTGGCCTCTGACGCAATCTCAACGAGCACATTATCTAAGGTAGGTTTGCCTATTTACGCGTAAACTATTACGTCATCTCATTGCACGAGTCAACCATAATTGAACTTTCGCTAGTCTTATGAATTGATTTGCGTTCATGTGAGATAGATGACACCAGCGTCAGAGGTTTCATCTCATTTTCCCTTGTAAAACATACAAATATATCTCAATAAACGTTAGGTCGTCAGCAAAATTGCTGCGGTTAATTCTGCATTCTTATGTTGTAAGAACGCCAGAAATAGACATTGATTTTTGGCCCCAGCATAGGTCAGCGTGTCGATGACTAAAAGAAAGTTCGGAAGAGCAGAGTCGTAGAATTTTTCAAATACGTTGCTTTGACGGAACACGAATCGTAATAGTTGTTGTGTGTATATTGCTCTGTGCCAAATTTATCTTGCAAGCGGATGAATAATGGGTGAGGGTAATTGTAGCAACAGATTAACGTCAGTATTCGCCGGGTTGTGGTTAGTCTCCATAACCCTACAAACGGTGTAGAGAATTCCTGGATTTCGGACGACAACGCAATATAATGTGAGCAGTAGTAGTAGATATATGGTTATCATCCTCTCATGAATCACCTTCTGGATGAGCGCAGTCAAATCTTTTTGCCGTAACTGTTTCGTTCTAGGATGCAGCGACAAACAGGTCTACGATGAAATTGAAAAAAAGCTTGATATCGCTTTTATATCGATACTGCAGTACAGTCAGCGCTCTGATCAGCAACAAACAGCGCTTCAATGGAAACTTTATTAATGATTTTGCTGCCAATTTGTGGAAACACCGCGGAACGCAGGCGATTTTTTATTGAACCTGCTCGTAGCACCCTATTATAAATATCAATTATTGATCTGTCCCATAGTTGTAAAGTTGTTACGTACGCTGCTCCATGAAGTTGTTTGTGCTATCAGTCGCGAGTTTGACGCGTCTATGTCGAGCTACGCATAGTGAGCGACGTTTTCACTTCAACAATATGCGATTGCAGCGGCAGCACCTGACAGAGATCAGTTACGGATGCAGACATCTAAATCTTTTTCCAGACGTCTATATGCAAACCATTAGTTCTAAGTTTTTTTGCATTACGTGAGTGTACCTAATATTTTTCACCTGAATAACCTGTTACAATACCTCGATTCCTAGCTAACCTATATAGCAGTAATGGGTGTCACTGATCAATCAATTATCGATGCTTTTAGTGAGCGGCTGGACATCACTGGACTCTCTGCTGTAATAGACTGAAGATATGAAAAGTGTCAGGGGGTAGAAGCTATCGCACTGGCAGTGTGTCATAAAATCAAGAAATGCTTTGATCCGATTTCGTATCTGTTACGACAGTTCACACGTAGAGTCTAGCATTTATCATATGCGCCAGTTGTTTGCCTGCAACTTCCACCACCACCGTTGGTTTTCTTAATGGGAGCGAGCCGTTAATAGACGCCTGTATTGAATCGAGGAATATCGATGTGTATTTGTCTCCATTAAGATATGAGTCAATTCCAATCATTCGTCAGTCAGCAAGAACTGACGCAACGCAACAGTGGCAGTTACAGCGTCTGCTTGTTGAACTGTTGGGAGCGCGTTAATTGGGCACTGCATCGTAGCTGATCGCACCACTGCAAAAAAAAAGAACGCCTTGTTGCTACCGATAGAGGTCGAACTATCGACGCAGGCGCTTGCGCTTCGATCACGAGCTGTCTTATGCGTCATGAATAGTTAACGTATTGGCCGGTTTAGCTCGCTCCTTCTTTCTGTACGGCCAGTTTCGGTAAAATTTTGACCGGTAGTTGGAAAGACAAGAAAAAAAAACAGCTGGTAGATGGGCAATAAGACAATAGCAGCTCAATAAAATGGTTCTCTGTATGAATCTGTAATAAAAAATAGGAAAAAGGTTACCACTTTAATTAATAACTAATCAATAATGAGGAGTTTTGCTATGGGTGTTTTTTTTCTTTGTAATTAGTTTATTGTTTTTAAAAAATCTTTGTTACTCTCATAATACTGAATGAAGGTGATACGTGTATTTGACTATATTGCGATCTACGTTGCTTGCTACGGGGGTGTCGCCATATCGGTTAGGAGGCGTTAAATTAAATAATGCTAATTAAATAACGAAATAATAATAGTAGTTTGAGAAGACGTAACTGCCTTGTCAACACAAAGTAAGTGCGTGTGAAAAACCGAATCTTTATAGAAATTTACATTAGACATCGTTATATTTCATCGAATATCTTGAACGAGAAATGCAGTTGAGTTTTGCGTAATGTCATAGTCTTACGAAGCATAACTAATTTTTATCTGCACAACTGACCACATATTTTTTGCCCCGTGTGTCTGGAGTGGAATGCCTCAGAATTTCCGAGTCTGAAATTTCCCTGGACGTTTTCCGAAATACATGAGGTGCGCGCCCTCAACTTCATAGTCGCGGAAGCTTTAAAAGTACGTTTTCCGGCGTTGTTGCTATACCCTTCGTTATTGGGAAGACACATTGTCAGAAAGCAAGTCATGCGGTGAGAGCAAACATTGCTGAATCGCCGTGCCCCGTGAGTGCTTCATACCATTGGCTATGTGCGTTAACACCGGCGCATTTCGTCCATTACAGCAGACAGATTTAATGGCACTTCATATTAGAAGACACACGTGAGATAAAAAGAGCCTCGCGGCATCCTCTTTCGGTTTCACTTATTTGTTTTGCCACGCTCGTTGAAGGCGTGGAAGTGGTTTCCTCTTTCATGACCCTTAACCCCCCCCTCCCCCAAAGCAACCAGGGTAGAATGAATAACGCTCATAGAACACTCATGCAAACGCTACTTCGATCTAATATTTCTACTACCCTTGCCAAAGTTCGATGAATCAATCATTGCGCCAAAGTAGATTGCGCCAATAGCATAACTATTGACTCGTTCGTAGCAAACGGCGGAGCGGATAGATTTGTTTGTTGTGGACGGATAAAAGGGATAATTCTTGGAACACATGTTTAAGTTTAACGGCTCGCTTCATTGCCCACGTCCATTATTCTAAGCACACGTTCTCTCCCTAAAGATTAACAACAACAACAACAACAATTATAATAATAATGACGATGATGATTATCAGTATCATGAGGTAGTCCGTACTCGCCTATAACAATAGCAGAGGCAGCGGAAGCGGCTGCTGGCAGCCTGCACGGTCGTAAAGTACAACAGCGACGCTTGCCGGGATCGTCGTCCGCCCTTTTAAAAAACTGCGACAGAAAGCATGCAAAAAATACAGACGACAGTAAAGACAGCAGAGATGTGTTCGCTAACGGTAATTATTAGAGTCGCTAGCTACTGAGGTTGTTGTTAGCCCATATGTCGTGTTTAGTAGCGCAGTAAAATGCGCAATCATACCGCCAGCAGCAAGAACTGAGTTTTTAAAATGATAGGCCAAAGTATTGAAATCGTAACTCGTACGTACTCCCAGTTCGCAGGCGGTCTTACCAAAATTACGGTGGTCTCGAAAACTAAGTTAACTCGTTAGCCATCGACACACGCTAGCGATATGAACGGCTGTAGTGTGTTTTGCAGACGCTTTACAGGATTCATATGATACTACTACTATTATGCCGTTATAAGAAAACACGGCGGACCTTGGAATTAAAACATTTTTGAACTAAAGGGCTAGAATGGTGGTTTTTTAAAACGTGTAAATTTACGGGGGACCTATTTTTACTTAGTTTCAGTATTTGGGTTGTAGTTCTGTAATACGTTACATTTGAATCGCCAATTTTGGTGGACAAGGTTCTCAGCCTTCAAGCTGTGCTTTCGTGAAAGGCCTTCTCAATTGCGGCAATGCGTTTTTATCCTTCAGATCCCGACATCTGGCCATCTCCTCGCTGGCCTGCAACATGCCTATTCGCATTCTCGAATGGTTTCATTATTTATGAACAGTACCTTCGCTTAAGATTTCCTTGCCTAATGTCTTTACCAATTTTCGAAGAATTTCAGCAGTGCTGAGGCCTTCAACGAATAAAAACTTGATTCGAGACTAAAAGATGTTTTCTTTCAGGACTTATTTATCCCGAACTAAAAACGGCTTTCTCTTCATTCACGAGCTTCTAGTAGAGTAGAATAAATATCGGCTAGACGCGTAGTTCAAAAGTTGTTGTTTAATTTCAAGATCTGCCACATTCACTTGTAACAGTCTAATATAAGATGCCGCCCAGTACTAGATAGTAGCGAATGAAATACTCGTCCTTATTGTTACGGCGACTGGTAGTCCTCTTATGTTCAGTCCTGATGTATAGGAAACGATGACTACATTGCAGTGCTTATCTTCCAAGGTTATGGCTAGAAGTGGCACTGCAATTGGGTGGCTGTCTGGATAGCTGGCTTGCGGCCTATGATAGTGCAGATGGACGCTTTTGACTCTGCGTACGACTTTATTTTACGGTTTAGTTGGGTCTCCGTACGCGCTCGGAACGCCGGAACTCGAGACGCTCAGGCACTGTCGTTGCGCATGATCACTATGAACAAGGGGAGATAGTGACGTAAACTGACGGGTACCATTAACTTAGGTGATGATGTCAAGCACTCACGGATCTTAGGGATAAGTATCATTATGGTTTTTGTCGGTTCTTTGTTTTTTAACACGTAATGATTGTAATGGGTATATATATATATATATATATATATATATATATATATATATATATATATATATATATATATACGTATCTAGTCTAACGAATATTACATTCGTTAGACTGAGGTGTTCACTACTCGGCCCTGTGGACAGACGTGACCGTCTCCATTTGTTTTCTTTTTGGCGTTGATAGTATCACCTTGAAATAGCTTCTGAACCTTTCGCTGCCTCGTCTTGTTCCCTAATTTAGTCAATCTAACCCCTTAACGGGCAACAGAACGAGCATTTATATATGAACGTCTGTGACGTTATTGGCTGTTAGTTTCATAGAGTGTTAGTTTATTATTCAAAATGAAGACAACTGGACAGTGAATTAAGTAAAAATACCTTTCACCCGATAA